CAGACACACACACATACACACAGACACACACACACAGACACACACACATACACACACACACACCTTGTAGACTCAGCCTTGAGGCCAAAGACTGGAAATAAGTTGGAAATATGTGAATATCTGAGATAGGAATCTTAGAAATAAAATTATCCTATTACCAAAACTTTTCATTGTGTAGGTCAGAAACAAGTCATTAAAAAATATTTATTGAAGTTTCAGAGTATCAAATCACACATACCTTTTGCTTGGCTTCAATAATTTTTGCCTCTAAATCAGCTGGAATTATCTTCCCCCTGTAATTGTTATAAAAAGAAAGAAATTAAAATAAAGAATCAACAAGATTATACAAGAAAAAAATCCATTATCATCAGCAGCAAAAAAGTAATTTAATTGGATATTTTCAACAGACCATTAGCAGCTTGGCACACTGTACTGAGTCAGTCTTTAAGCACAATAAAACAAATTTAACAGATGAACACATTTAATACATCAAGAACCTAATGCTCACTTCCTGCTGCCTACCTTTCATTGCACTTTATCAAAATCACATTGTCAGTGCCAAAGCCAAGTGCAGCCCCCGCTTTCTTTATGGAATAGTGACTCTGCAACACATGGAGGCTTGAGGTTAAAAGTTAGATAGTCCCTTAAGAAACACCACATTCCACAAGCCAGAGTCTCCAACTCACGTGTTCTGAGGTGAAGAGGACGAGTTTGGGCACAGCCGCCATGCCCTTTGTCTTAACTTCCGGAAAGTACTTGTAGCGAGCAGCCATGATGCTGTACATGTTGGATATGGCTCCCCCTATCAACAAGCAGACATAGCGGGAGGTTGCTGGGGCTCTATTATGTTTTTAACACAAAGATTGAGCTGGTGTTTCAAGACATGAAGAAGGGAAAGGACAGTATCCTGGAAGTCTTGCTGGCTTCCTTGCTCTTAAGGACTTCCCTCTGGCCCTTTGCCCTGAGACTTGAAGTGGATACACTTATCTCCAAAGCTATGTCGGCAGTTTTGCTGGAGATGATTCATGTATTTCAGTGCCTATCCAAAGCCTATACAGAATATCAGAGGCAGTAGTAGCGTTGCAAAGACACAGTAAGTAACGGCCTCCCAGCTTCCATCTTCTGTGTAATCTGTTTACTGAACAAAGCTGAATCTGCTCCCTGAGTTCAGAAAGACAGGGCAAGAGACTAATGGAGCTTGCAGAAAGAAATAGTGCATCTCTAGGTTACCAGCTTGGGTATTCGCTTCAAAGAATAGCCCGATTGACTTAGTGAGTCTAGGAGAGGTCTAAGCTCTTTTAAACACAAAAATTCACTCATGTCTTGCTAAATAAAGATACAAGAAGAAATGAGATAACCACCCAAGTCTAGACAACACAAGCTAGTCACTTTGACATTCTCTCAGTTCCCTGAGAATGAAATACGCAAATCAGTGGTCTGTGGGACAATTGTATTCTTTTTTTCTTCTCCCCCATTCCCATATGTAGCTGTATTTTCTCCAACACCATTTATAACTGCTTCTTACCCCCAAGAATAGCTGTCTTTATTCTAAAGATTCTTATTGTATCTACTTTGAGTTAGAAACTAAAGTAGATACAATATTTGGGCTTAAGTTAGTTAATTGGTAATCTGACCCATGGATCTCTAGTTTTGCTATTGTCAGAGCAGCACCGTTTAGCATGACTCAGACACAGCCTTGGTTATTTGGCTCACAGGCAGAGGCAGAGTGTTAGGATCATTGATTATAATATATGCAAATATGCTAATGTCACAATGAAGTCCATTAATTTCTAAAATTTACCTATGTTAGTAATTTTAATAAAGAAGAAAGGATCCACATTGACAGTATTGAGGGCAATCAATTACAGAAAAGAAACCTACCAGGAGAAAATATCCCATCACCATCTTTACTTGACCATCCAATGATCTCTCTCATCTTCTTAAGTGTTATCTGTTCCATGAGAACAAACACCGGTGCAATTTCATATGTAAACCTGGAGTGGTGATGAAAGGAAGAATGAAAACAAAGAAATAAACCTACTTATTTGATGAACACAGACCACTGGTTCAGCAGTTGTAGTTGGGTCCTAACAATGGATGCTCAAAACCATTGAAATGATTTGTTTCCTGAAATCACATGTCGACAGTCCTAAAGTGTCAAAAACCAGCCTGGGTTACCAAGAGAGGTGGTGGAAAGTCTGCTTCGAGATATTTCACCAGCAAAAGAGTTGCACCTGTCTCAGGTGTGGTTTGCCCAGAGGAGAGGATTCCACATTACTATTTGTAGGGCAGTGCAAATGCTAATTTGAAAAACTGCATTTTAGCTTCTACTTACAATTGGTTGAACCATTTTTTTTTTTATTAAAGGACTGCCAGTTTCACTCTCATAGGCAGGGCTAATGTCTATCTTTGAGAAACAATGTAAACATCTGAAAGCTGGCTGTGAAGATAATTGGGAATATTGACCCATGTTTTAAAGATCTCAATGTAATTATCTACATGTTCTTTCTTCTAATAATCCCTAGGGACAACTATGTATCTATAACTCTCTGGAGTCAATATTTGTCAAAAATAATTAGAAGTGATGATTTTCTAATGACAAATTATAAATAACAAGAAGACGGTAAATTTGCATACATATTGACTGGCAGGTTGCATTTGTCTCCCAACAAACAGATGTAAATGAAGCAATCGTGTTCTTTTAAAAGAAGTTCAAAGCAGTGGCTTTGTCTAGTAGGACAGTCATTACAGCAAGATCAGGATACTAAACAGGGTTTAAGAAAAGTCAAGGAAGACCATCCACAGAAAATTGAGCCTGAAGACAGAATATATTTACTAAACTCTGAGGCTCTTTTTCTTGCATTGGCTTGAACTTCTTAAGCTTTGGTTTCTACAGGCTGAGGCAAGACCATCCTAGTTGAAAAGAGATGCCTAGACCAACCCAGCCAAGTAATACAGGAGGCATTGTCATCATTTAGGGGCTTGGGGTTGAATGCTAATGCCAAAGACTAATGGGAATCTTGCTTAATGATTTAGAAAAGCTGTTTGCAAGAATGAGATAACTATTGCTATACGTAAAACACACTAAGCTTTAATCAGGAGGGAAAAAGCAGTCATGTTAATCATGTGGCAATACAAGAGGACAAAAAAGACCCAACAGGATCCTCAGGGGATATGTCTGGTGAGAGGAGAAGGATTTTCTTTCAAAAGGAGTATATCCATTTTTCTTGATGGGGGAGTCCCCTGAAAAATTGGGAGGAAGACCCTTGGAAAACATGTGTTCAGTTACCATCACCTCTGGAGGTCACACTCATGCTTTGGTTCTGCTCTGAGCCCCATCACCGTAGCAACCAACACTCCCTCATGTCTGATGGCCTGATAAAGGAAGAAGAAGAGAAGGGTTCCTGGTTTAGCCTGGGATGCTGAGTGAAAGAGGCAAACTCATGGGTTGCATCTCCACATTGTTGAATAAATGTATTATCTATGGTCCCAGTGACTTTTGGAAATGTTGGGATGGCCAAAATGTTTGCATGGTGAAGAGGTATTGGTGGTAGTTTGTGTGCTCAGATTTCACAGTATTAAATACCAACAAGAAATCTCCCTAGGTCAAGGAAAGGAACAGTGGAGTCACACACTACAATATCAAAATCATCTCAAGGACTGGATGAAAGTTGAGTTAGAGGCAAGCCAGCATTAGATGGTCAAGTAAGAACCATATTGAGGAGGAAGAATGTGGGACTGGAACCCAAGGAGTTGGCTTGATGTGTTCCAGGATAGAATCAACTTAGCCCTCACATTTGTGCGTATCAGTCTTCCTTGCTAAGGACCAAGAACACCGCCATTGCTTTCAGAACAGGCAAGAAGAGTCTAGAGCTCCATCAGGAGAGCACCTTGTCTCATGCAATTCAGAGTCCTTATCTATGTTGGGCAAGTGGTTCCTAAGCTTTTGTGTAGTTCTGTTTACCAGACACAGAGTTCTGTGCTTCACAGTCCCCTATGTTTGGAGGAGACAAAGTTGTTACGGAATACCATTCCCAAGCCTGAGATGGACACTTACTAGGGTGAATCCAGCAACTGATCCTTGCCTTGAGATGCATCTTGTTTGAGGGTCTGTGACTTGGCCTTGGGGACCAGTTATCTCACAGCTAGTACTATACTGGCTCCTAAACTTTGTGCTTATAGCTTTCCTTTCCTAGAAGCTGAGAAAACCCTTTGAAGGACAAAGTTTGGTGTATGCCTAGGACAACTACACATTTGCAAAGTTTTCTCTGGATACTTATTGGTCATGGATGTTGATTCATAATCTGAGAAATGGACCAATGAGATAGTTTGTTCTAGATACTTCTGAGCTCGCTTTCCATTTCGGGTCATATTTGGAATTATAGTGAGAGGGATCTTCCTGTATCCATGTTCTTATGAAAGGCTTTGAAGTTTACCCTAGATCTTGACTTAATTGGATCAGAGACCACTTTAGGAATCCTAGTGAAGGCTATAGTTCCTATCTCCAGGTAAAATGTGTAGATATACACATTATTTTGTATAAAATTGTATGAAATTCTTCCCTTTACAACTTAGATGCTCGTTTAGAAGCCCCTTCCCTAAATGACAGGTGAAAGATGAAGTCAAGAGATCAAAGGTCAGTACAGATACAGAAGAAGCTGGTGGGATGCTGAAGTCACAGTACATGGTTATATGTTAGGATCCAAGATAGGTAACAGTAGCTCTGCAAAAGGCTTGGGGCTACAGCATAAGAATGTGGATTGGAAGTAAGGATTTAAAACAGTAAGATTCGAGGACGCTAAGGGAGGATTCTGAGTAGGGTAATATAATAGGTCAGCCACTTGACTGCCCACCTCACCTTGCTAGAAAGATGTACTCAGAATTAAAGTAAACTGATTGTCAAGATGCTGTGGTTGCAGTCTGCCAGTCATTAACCACACCAATTTTCTTTTCCTTCACTACAAGCTGTTTAGAGTTGTGCTTCCCCAAGACCAGAGAGACTGTCTTTACTAGCTTCTTTACGCATAATCATGGGGCTAGCTATTGCCAAACAATTGCTATGGGAAGTACTTTGTGAGGCTTCTGAGACTTTTATAGCGGTAACACTCTGTCCCTACTTTGCCTGCCTCTGCTATGCCTGCCTGCCCTGCTTCCTTCCCTTCCTTCCTTTCTTCCTCAGCCCCTCAGTCCATCATGCCCTCCTGCTTCCCTGAGTTTTGAAACAGAAAGTAATGGCTAGAACTTCAGCAACCAGCATGCAATGTGAAGTAACTGTAGCTGAGAGCTTTATGGTAAAATGTGAACCAGAAAGGCACAGAGGAACCTGGAGTTCTGGTGACTTCCAGGCCAAAGACTTTAATGAAAGACTTCCACACTGGCTGCTGTCGCCATCCTCTTAGACCTCCTCTCTCTGCAGATGTGGCAGGTGCCATAAGTAAGATACTTAAGGGGACCTTAGGGAGATGTTCTTTTGTCCAGAGATGGCAAGAGTTAGAAACAAGAGCCGGGAAGCTCTGTGTGCCTACCTACCCTGGGGGTATGGGTGTCTTGTATACCGTAGGCACTTAGGACTGAGCCACTGTTAAATCTTCAGAACCATTCTGTAGGGAAAATATCATTGCCCCTCCTTTCGTGATGAAAGATAGAAACTCGGAGGAACGCTTTGATTTGTGTGAGATCTCAGTTGTTGGTTTCAGGGTCAGAGATCCCCGTCCTTTATGCCGTAGCTGTTTCTTCGTGACAAATGGGAGCTGCTTGTTGCTGGCTCTGTTCTAACAGCTTGTCCCTCAGTGTATGATGACTGATGGTGCCACTGGAAATTTCTCCAGTGTAACTTCCATGAAAATAAAGCAGTAGATGTGTGAGACGCACAAGCTCATGGCAAAGAAGCAAAGCAGATCTTGCTGTCGCAATTACATATTACACCAGGTGCTGTGGCTTACACAACCTGCCCAGTTGTTCTTGGCGGACTTGGTGAAAGAGGGGTACGTGCCAAGAACAGCTACACATTCGCAAAAGTTTCCATTGTATCCTCATCGATCCTTGCCTGGGAGAACAGGTCCCAGAGCTGCATGCACAAGCTGATATAAAAGCATGGTCATGAACGTTCTTTCATTGCTAACCAGTCAGACGTCCTACACTTCCATCTGAATGAGGATATTGGATCGTTCTCTGAAAGGACTTTCCAGAGATAGTAATTATGCTCCTTCACCAGTGCTACCCAAACTCAGTGGATGTGAGGAGGGAGGGGAGGTGTGAGCATATCAGTAATTAAATCACAATTGGCGAGAATAAAGCTCTCCTGCCAGTCTCTCCCAGGCTTATTTAGAACAGCATTCCTAGCTGTGGAAGGGATTGTCACAAGGAAGCAAATGTACCTGTGCGCCTGTGATGCTGTCACATGTCATGGTCTTCCAGGGCACCTGGCTGAGGAGACTGTCTGGAGAATAGTTATCACTTCCTCACACAATGCCTGTCCCTAAGCTGACAGGAGATCTTTCACTATTCTAAATAACCGTCTCTATCGATCTGTTGGAATCGAATCATATTTTACAAATACCTCCTGTTCAGCGGAGAGGCAATTACTATGTGTCATTTAGCTGGCTTGGCCTTGACCTCAGGTGGCTGGGACATATTTTAGTGTTTCATGGCTGAGCTGAGCTAAGAGAAGAGTCAAGGACTTTGATTTTATGAATATAGACCAAAAGGGGAAAAAAAGAATCCATGAGAGTTTTATGGTTCAAGAAAGGCTTTTAAGATTTAATTATAAGTAGTTCAAAGGGGTGAACTCTTTTTATTTACCTTGATATTGGGTACATATTAGAAGCTACAGTCAGAGACCTGTAGAACACATATTTAAAGTTGGTTAATACAATGCCTATGTCACTATGGATATTTGGACCTCCCTGAACATGTATGTACCTTTGGGGGTGGGGTCAGGGAAGATCAAACCTGTGGCCTTGAAGGCGACCTACCCCTGAGCCACACCCCCAGCCCAGATGCATACATACCCTTTTACTCTGCTTTTCTCACTATTTCCTAAATTGCTGGGTTCAAACAAACAGACTACATTTTCTAATTGAAGTTGTTCCTTCCCATTCGATGCTACAATTAAACATTAGTGTATTTTCTTCAAGTTATAATTAGTATGTTATGATGTTTGCACTTGATGATAAATATTTTATTCTACAAACCATAATAGGACAAAGACGGCAAAAGGGGGGCTTTTTGTTTCAGGAGATCATGGAGGCAATTGCATCTCTGACCTGAATTCACACCATGAAGACGGCATGACTGGTGAGCAGCGAGTGTGAAGCCACTTTCATTTTCTAATCAGTTGACTTTTTATGCCTTTCAGCATAAAAGTCTCCTCTTGCCCTATTTACTTTGAAATTTTTGTCCGAATTTCTGAATGCAGTTTTAGTATTTTGAGCCACAGCATTAGACAGCCTTGGGATACGTAAGAGCAATTCATAGTTTAAAGATGCTCTTCTGACTTTGTAGCTGGCCATGGCTTAAGAAAAACAGATTACCTTGAACTTTAATAACCAGATTTCTGCCTGCTGTCAGGTGGCACTTCTCGCAATCCCTCTCGTTCACCTAAGTTTGCTTTTCAGAAACTACTTTGCAATAAACTTAAAAAGTGAGTTGACCCCAGACTGATCGCTGGGAAACCAGCATGGGACTGATCCAGACCCCCTGAATGTGGGTGTCAGTGAGGAGACCTTGGAAATCTATGTAGCAGTAGATCAATACTTATCGCTAGCGTAGGAATGGACTTTGGGAGCCCGTCCCACATGGAGGGATACTCCCTGAACCTAGACACAAGGGGCTTGGCCTAGGTTCTATCCCAAAGGAGATGACAGACTCTGAAGACCCCTTACAGAAGGCCTCACCCTCCCTGGGAAGCAGAAAGGGTATGGGACAGGTAGGGTGTTAGTTGGGGGGGCCAGGGGAGGAGGGGAGGGACAGGGACCTGGGATTAACATGTAAAATAATCTTCTTTCAGGGCTGGAGAGATGGCTCAGAGGTTAAGAGCACTGACTGCTCTTCCAGAGGTCCTGAGTTCAATTCCCAGCCACCACATGGTGGCTCACAACCATCCATTATGAGATCTGGTGCCTTCTTCTGGTGTGCAGATATACATGGAAGCAGAATGTTGTATACATAATAAATAAATAAAATCTTAAAAAAATAATCTTCTTTCCAATAAAAAAAAGTGAGTTGAGGACTGAAGTGGAGAACAATGGCAGAATTCATGCTAAGCATGCCCTGGGCCTGGGTTTGAGCCCCCCAGTGCCACAGAATAACTGACAAATAACAACACTGCAGTAGTGACAGACACCCCCAAGGTTCCTATGCAGTTATTATTAAATTATCGTAATAAGTTTGCTTCATTAATTTCCTTTGGATACTTTAATTGAATGCCACGCTACTGTCTGGATGTGTTGGTAGTGGTAAGACGCTGTCATTAGTGTGCAGGGAAGAGATAATTATCTCGAAGCTATTGTGACCCCCCATATCTTGTAATACATTTTTACCCCCAAAGATGACACACATGTGTAAAGGAAATTTGGGGGGTGGTTGCTGAGACTACCCTGGTTGTACTTGAACCTTTAAAATCTTGGAATAAGTTTCGTATAAATTTAAAAAATTGTAGAACTAATTGAAAATGTTGTCTGCATAAGCAAGTTGAGGTTTCCAAAGTGTTAAACTCAGCAAAAACTACCAGTTATTTTGAAATGAATACATGCTATATCTACTGTAGATGGATGTTGTTCTAGAATTTTTAGTTAGTAAATAAGTTGATCAAGGTGATTTGTGGCTAATAGCTTAATTATGGAGGGAATACAGCCTAGGTGGTAAAGTACCAAAATCACAGCCCAAAGCATGTGCATTCAGAGAAACAGGCTGTTATGAAAGTGCACATAGAGATTTCAAAGCTAGCTATCATTTCCTACAAGCATGCTCTTATTACATTATTCAAGAATAATTTTTCACCTTGTGAAAAATCTAAAAGGTGTTGTGAGAAAAAAGAACTATAAGCAAACAGAACCATCAGAGTTGAACATTTTAACAAGCCATATGCATCACATATACTTGTAGGGAAAGAATACACAAGACTTACATATTGGTATTGGCAGTTGATGTCAGCCACTCGCCAGCTAAACCAATGATATCCAAACCAGTAGAGAGCTGGTTGAAAAATCGAGGATGACCTGGAAGGGCAACAGGCAAGCATTAAGGTAAAGCCAGATTTTTCAATCTATCTTCAGAGCAAAAGGGCTGGACCACACGGATGTGATCTCTATCCTGTGATCTGATAGAATTCTCCAAGGATACTGGAGAAGGGGGATTATCACCAATGATACCCTCAGATGTCTTTGTTTCTAAGGTAGCATGCTTTTAAATTGAAAATTGGGTCTGGGATGATGGCTCAGTGGTTAAGAACATTGGCTACTCTTCCAGAGGACCCAGGTTTGGTCCCTAGCACCCACATGGTGGCTTATAAACATCTGTAACTCCAATCCCAGGTGATTTGATGCCCTCTTCTGGCCTCTCTGAACATTGCATACACATGGTATACAGGCATGCATACACAGTCTACCATATGCAGCAAAACACCTATACACACAAATAAAACAAAAAACATACACCCCAAAATTGAGACTCATGAAAAACTCTATGCTTTCCAATATCTTATTTGTTGACTTTCAGCTGAGCTCTTCTGTCACACATATTTCTTCAATTATGTGGTAATGCCCTCCAAGGTGATGCACATCTGTGATCTTGGCACTTGGGGGCCAGAGGTGAGAGGTTTGTGAGTTCAAGGCCAGCTTGGATTACAAACTAAGATTCTTTCCTAACTACCTACTGAAGGATGTTCTAGTTCTTATTCTTTTCATACCTATTGCAACTTTTACTTCACTATCACAAGGACTTTAAGTGCCGGGTTGATATTGGCTAATGGAGAGGAGGCTGCGGGCCTCAGAGTTCTGTGGCTCAAACCAAGCCTGGGGAAAGTGTCAAATCAGACCTGATGTGGAGACCACCCACTACTCTCTGGTCTCTCGGACAAATGTGATGGCAAACATCAGTGCTCTTTGCCCATCTAGATTATGTGCCCATTAAAGTAATGGAGCTAAACGGATTAAGAGCTGAGCTGATCCAGCATCTCCTCTGTGAGTAGGCAAATCAATCCTCACTCAGTTACTGAGCCCAGAAACCCTTATGCTCTGAGACTCCAAAGTCCCATGCAGCCCACAGTGCCCCTCAACTGGCTCTGCCCTCAGTGAACTTACGACTATTGCCAAGGTTTTGCAAACTTGATGTTTACCAAAAGCTCAAGTCCACATCAGCAGACTTGGCTCAGCTGTCATGAAGGAGTCACCACAATAGATTATCTAGGGAATATGTGACAGAGGACAGTGTTGGGGAGATTTGCTGACTGCTATGTTTCCAGTGGAAACTGCCTTTGTCTGTGAGTAACTGTCAGAAAGCTAGTGGTTGAAAGCTAATGGTTCCTGGTCTAAGCCTCATCCCTGAGACTCTGCTTTCCCCACAATGTCCTGGGAGAGGAGGGGTCCTTTTCTTCGGGAACATGGCTGCTGGTGAAAGGCCCCACAGCCAGGCATATTCAGACAACACTAATTAGACCCAACAGATTATAAAAATAAAAAGACATTGTGTGGTGGTGTCGCACACCTTTAATCCCAGCACTCAGACAGGCAGAGACAGATGGATCTCTGTGAGTTTGAGACCAGCCTGGTCTACAGAGCAAGCTCCAGGATAGCCAAGACTACACAGAGAAAGTCTGGGTCTTGAAAAAAAAAACCCAAAATTAAAATAAAATAAATAAAAAAGACAACATGAAGGTAGGAGGGGGACCTTTAAGGGAGCCAGGGAAAGTGGGAGGGGGAGTTGGGTGGTTGTAATCGACACGTTGTATACATGTATGAAATTGTCAAATAATAAAAATATCCTAAAGAGGCCGGGCGTTGGTGGCGCATGCCTTTAATCCCAGCACTCGTGAGGCAGAGGCAGGCAGATCTCTGTGAGTTTGAGGCCAGCCTGGTCTCCAGAGCCAGTGCCAGGATAGGCTCCAAAGCTACACAGAGAAACCCTGTCTCGAAAAACAACAACAACAAAAAAATTCTAAAGAAATACTTCTGTTGAAATCCATTAAAGTATATACGGTACCCACTTGAAAACTTTAAAAAATCAATGATTTCAACCTGAGTTAGTACTGGATTATAAATAAACTCAATTACACTTATTTGATAGGGCACCAAAGCCACACAGCATGGCAGAAGAACACGTGTCAGAGACTGGCATAAAGTGAAACAGTCTGTCCCCCAACTCCCTTTATCAGATGGTCACAGCCTCTGCCTGAAGAATCCTCTAACAGTTTCTACTGAGTAGACTCTATTTAGATTCAGTTCCTTCTTCCCTTACTTCCCCCCTTCTCATCTTTTGCTCCTTATTTTACTTTGTAGCTAGGTCTTGTTATATAGCCCGGACTATCCTCAAACTGGGGGTCTTCTTAATGTCACTTTCTAAATATTGGCTTTATGGGCACACGCGGCCAGGTCTAACCCCAGATTTTGGTCTCAATTATGACAAAACACTGGATAATGCATGGTTTAATTTCAAGTAAGGGAAGAAAGTCATTTTAAAGTAAGATTTTCCAACAAATAAACTGCAAAGAAGAAAGAGATACAGGAAGAAATCTATTGAATGGGACGAGTATAAACCAACTGCAGTATGCAGGGACTTAACCGGATCCTGATTCCAGAGAATTGAAACAACATTCAGCAAAAGCTCTTGTATATTCATGAGGCAACTGAATATTTCATAGTATTAAGGAACTTGGGTGTTTTGTTGTTTTTTTTTTTTTTCCCAGCCGGAACACTGACATGATTTTTAAATGAAATTCTTGAAGGTGCAGATAAGTGTTGATGCAATAATATTTTCTTGGGGACTTGCTTCCATACACTGCAGAGAAGGGGTCAGGGTGAAGTGACGTCGGCAGGAGCTGGCGATAGTTAAAGCTGGGTGTTGGGTGCATGGGTTCATTATTCAATTCTACTTTGGTATAAATTCAAAATTTCCATAATGAGAAGTTAAAAAAAGAACAAGCCAGCAATCCCCTAAGTGGCTGCTCTGATTGAAGGCTGCCTCATCCCTGCAGCAGTCCATGGAAAAGCATGTGCTGGGTCCTTTGTTAATTTGTAGAACAATGTCAAAAGCCCCCATATCCCTTCTTAGACTGTACCTGGAACAGTTAGACTCATTATTAGAACCCAATGCATTATTTTGGTACTGATATCCTTCAAAATGTTTGTGATATGTGTCAGGGGTTTAGTCTATCATTTGAATGTATACTCAAAAGTATAGGCCAGCAATCAGGAGCTGGCTTTTGATACAGCAGCAATGGTGTCCTTTAGCCGGTGCCAACACTGTGAAGGGCAGCAGAAAATTCCATGTGGTGTGGAAGATTATGTACTCTGTAAATGCAAATGTCTGCCCCTGGAAGCTGCTGTGCCCGTCAGAAGTGCCACAGACTAATCATCTCAGTGGATTCATACAATGAGCTGATGATATGCAATGAGCTAATAATATGCTTTCTCTGACCACAGACATGAGATGAATTCTGTGTTTTCTTTGAGAGACATTTTGGGCTTTAGACATCAAAAGGCAAAGATAGATAGATAGATAGATAGATAGATAGATAGATAGATAGATAATTTCCCTAACACAAAGAAAGTATATAGAGCAAACTGATAGACACAAGCATTGGTCAAAGCGAGTCAAGCTGAAACAGGGAATTCTGATTCTCTTGTAAGCCAGAAAAGCAGCACTTCTTCCCCTCAGGAATAGGCTAGCCATCAGACCAAAGGGGTGGTAGTGGAGCTGAATTGATGGGTGCTTTTCTTCAACAAACAAGACAGACTTTGTGCATGTGATTGAGACTGGCCTATCCAGTAATTACAAAATGAGACTACATTTAGGCTGGTGGTGTTGACTGACTTCAAAAGCTACTTGGAATTCCTTATTTAAACAGCTTCTTTGGTTGGCCTCATTAGTTCACTGGAACAGTTTGTGCCCCGCACCCAGTCACCTTACCCAGCTTTATTGCCACCAGCATCCCTGCTCTTGATCTTTAATCTATCTTCTAGGGGTGTAGATGAGGGGAAATAGAGGCAGAGAGAGAGAGAGAGAAGCAGAAAGCACAATATCATGCCATGCTTCACCTCAAGGTTTCACCCTGTGATGACAGCTGTGCCTAGGACTCCCAAGCCCTGAAGATCTGTCTGCCTAAGGGTGCATAGAGCCAGGCGGGGAGGGGAAGAGAGTTGCCAGGCAGAGAAACTGTTCTTTATTTCACTGCTAAGAAACAACTCCTACAGAGGTTTAAAACGTCTCTGAACTTGGGGTGATTTTTAGAGTAACCACTTGATCCAGGATTGCTGATTAGAGAGGACCTGGGAATGGTGAAAAGGGGACGAAAGGACAATCTCTAAGTACCAAATAGGACTTGATGACTCATTTGGAATATGATGTAAGTGGGGGAAAGAGTTGGAGGGAGGGAGGGAGCTCTTTTGGGGTGTTCTGGATTGAATGGTATTCCTCAAAAAGATGAATTCGAAGCCCAATCCCTTGTTCCTGTGACTGTGGCTCTACTTGGTGACAGAGTTTTTGCAGATGCAAACAAGAAGCCACACTGAGGTACCCACAAGCTAAGAAATGCCAAGAAAAATTCCAGAAGCCACAAAGGCAAGGGTGGATCTTTTCTGAGCACCTTCAAAGAAACCATAGCCCAAGGCTCTGCTCAACAACTGTGAAAGAATAAATCCCCATTGTTTGTGACAGTCTGTAATGACAACCCTCAGAAACTGACACCAAAAGAGAGGGAAATGGGCCAGTGCCCCAGTGCAAGTGACAGGCAAGGGAGGTAGGGCTCTCCAGAATGAGGTGGACCTGAGAAAAGACAAAAGGGATGGATGACTCTATTCTCTGTACACTATGAACAGTCTGAAACAAAAACAAACAGTAGAATGACCTATTACCATATATCGGTACCTTTTTAGTTTTAAAAGACATGGGCTATTGCTCTAGCCATTGTGGCCCAAGTTGACTTTGTGGTCACTGAGCACCTGGTGTCCTCCCTCATCAGGACAGAGCCTCTTCAACCTGATTTGGCTGTGCTCCTGACCAGCTAGGAGAGATGGATGGTCACTCTGTCCTCACGCTTACCTGTACGAACCCCATACTTTAGGGTGTCTCTGCAGTCAACCAGGATCTGCTCGAGAGACTCAGGGTGGTCAGACAGCTCCAAATTAAAGCCCTCCATGCCTTCCAGCAACTGGTGTGGGTGGTGGAAGTCCAACACCTTGGTGGAGCGATCAAACGTCTTGCGGACATAGTTGAGGAGTATGTCCACCACCTCCAGCAGGAACTGCACCGTTTGCTCCTCCCCATTCTTGGCTGGAAGCAGATCTAACCAGAGAAGGGAAGCCAAAGAGTGATTACCACCTGTCTCATACTTGTGTTTCCCTCGGTCAACTCCAGAGGGGCTCAGGTGCTTTCCAGGATAGGGGTCTATACTGATATTGGGATACCCAGTTCCCAGAAGGATGCACTTCCGCCCACACAAAGTCATTTGATGCAGGCCTAGGGCTTTATACACTTCCTGATAGTCAGGACTGCTCATGTGGGGGAGGAGTGGAGTGCTTAGAGAAAGAAACCTTGAGCAGCTGACCCTGGCAGCTGTCCATTTGCTGAATGGACACCTGGGAGGAACACGATGTAAAGTACTTTTGTTGGCCTCCTAGGGACCAGGTGTCCCTGTGCATCTGGTTTGGTATTAATAATTTGCTTGATCTGTGGGTAGCAAAAGGTGGGGCTGCTGTGGGTATGGGCTCTAGAAGGCAACAGAGGGACCACCATCTTTCTGTTGACTTCATCCTTTGGAGACTAGATTTTTTTTTTTTTTATTTGTATCGGGAGTTGACTTGGGCTCTCAGCTCTGTAGATCAGAATTAGAAAAAGGGTTACACAGGAAGGAGAAGAGCTGTTGGGGGCCCCTGAGTGATGTTTCCAGGATAGCACAAGAGCAGGTTGTGTGGCCATCCATGGCATGGCTGTCACAGAGGTTTAACGAAGCTGTGGTTTCTGTGGTTGTGTAGGAGTAATGGAGGGAGGAGTACCTGTGAGCTGCTGGGGAGGGCCGGGCAAAGCACCTCCCAAGGCCTGCATTGCAGAGCCAGCAGGGGGAGCTAGCAAAAGAGCCTCAAGAGAAACCGATTCTCCCATCCTGAGCCCCAATGTACAGGGTGGGTTGGGCATTTGGAGGTCAGTAATCTTGGAGGATAAATGCTCTTAAGAGAATCATTCGATTTTCTGAGTGTAAGATTCCTTTAGAGTCTGAGATTCTCTGTGTCCCCGTTTGTTTCTGGGAGTGTCTTTAAAATTGAATGATGTACAGACTTCCATCATCTACCTTTCAAAACAGCAGGGACCTGGGCAGTAGGAAGGAGGGAGTCTGGCCCATACAAAAGTCAGAAAGGAGGTTTTATGAGGGTTCACAGAACAATGGCATTTCTTAGTGAAAGAAGTAAAATTTCAGGGGGAAATCAAGACACTTAAATGAGGCACTGCTGGCTAGACTGGGGAGGGATCACCTTGAGCAAACAGGTTGGAGAAGTCAGTCTCTGTGCGCCTGAAGCGGGCACTCGGGTCACTGTTTTCACAGGAAAGCAGGTTCTTGGAGGACTGCCTCTCCCTGAAGGCACTCACAAGGCGGCTCTTCTCTTCCAGGCTATTGGTCCTTTGTAAGAAGCCTAAAGCACAAGAAGGCAGGTAAGACAGACTGGGAACTACCCAGCCACCAAAGGGCAGCTGCCATATCTGGCTGACTCTCCAAGCAGAGCGCTCACTTTTGCTGAGAAAAGAAGGCACCGAGTGTCTGTGGTTTATACACAGTGACTCTGCACTGCTTGCCTTTAGGCGGGGAGGGGCCATGTCAAGTGTCATCAGTGGCACAGACCCAGTCATGCAGGAGAGAAAAGCAGCAAGTGAGCCCCATATCCTCTCTGAACGTGACAACAAACTGAATTAAGTTGACTGGACAGCTTCCACTCCAGTAACCAGCCCCAGGATGGGGTTTGGAAAGAAGGGACCCAGAGAGGATGCTGACAACATTGGGTTTGTGGGCCGTGGAACCAATGGGATGAGGACAGAAGAGGGAGGAGGGTGAAGACCAACGGAAGAAGGAAGAGGACAGTAGGATGGATGACGAGGACAGCAGAGAGAAGAGGGTGAGGACAACAGAGGGAGGATGGTGAGGACATCAGATAGAAGAAGGTGAGGACAGCAGAGAGAAGAGGGTGAGGACAGCAGAAGGAGGATGGTGAGGACAGCAGAGGAAGGAAAGATAAGGTCCTGGAAGTTAAGGAAGATCTCTTTTTTTTTTTTCTGGCACCAGATAAATATCACAGGTATAAAGTTTTTGACTCAATTATGAAGTGCAGCTCTTCCTGAGCCACCCATCTCCATTGATGAAAGTATTAGAGAAAAGACAAGAAAGCCTCAGCATCTTCCAGCCTTGACATGGGCTTAGCTAGCTATAAGTACTTATGGAGCACTTGTCGAAGAGCAGCTTGTTATTTATTTAGAATGAGACAGATGAAGTGAGACCAATCTCCCATCCTCCAAAAGCCTCAGTCTGGCTTCTGGCCACCTCTGTTACAATAATTCCAGGAAGCTATCCAGAAGCATACTGAAATGAACTTTGATCTTAGGCTGGGGTTCACAGCACCCCATTACTTCCCCAAGAGGAGAAGCAATCTCACCCATGGTAGACCGTGCAAATACCCCCAACAGCACTCCAAGAAGCAGGGTTGAACCCAACAGACTGGAATGCCTGCCAACTTGGAGCATGTCCACCCACCCCTGATCAAACACTGTACCCCACTCGAAAAGCTGTCTTTGTAGAAACTAAGATCCTTGGGACATAATCAAGAGTCCAGAGCCAGGAAGCAGCACTCATTCACTAGAGGGTTGTAGGGTCCTGGTCCCTTTGTCCGTAGCAATGATTGTAGAGTAGGTCTGGCTGCAGAAACCAAAATCCACGTGGCTCAATGGGGTCCTGTCCAACTGAGATCTACTCTGTAGTCTCTACTATCCAATCCGAGCTCCTCTTGGTTCAGAGAGGCCCTGCGAGGAGCTATCTGCTTCTCCAAGAATGATGTGTGTGTGTGGGTGGGTGATAAATTAAGTGGAGGATGATACTGAGGTGACTGTTTTAACAGTGGTCTGACTAACAATGGGTTCTGGCTAGAGGGTCCCTGAAACTTCCCAGAAGCACCCTATATTCTCTCTTACTCTGTACCCCAGCTACCAGGATTTAGTGCTGGCATGTGAGTAATTGACATGGGAGAGAGCCTGCAGCTTGTATTGGTTCAAGCTATAGATGGCCATCACCCACCCTCAAATGAAGATGAACAGCAGCAGCCTGTGAGGACGTCCCACTCTGGGATGGTGGGTGTTCTTCATTCCCATTGCCCAACTCAAAGGTCAGGGCTCCAGTGAGCTTTGTAGAAACAGAGAGCTCCATGCTCCAGACAGTTGTTTGCAAGTGAAGCTCCAAGCTAGGCGTGGCATAAAGACACATGGGCACAGAGAATGCTGAAACCCAGACCAAGCCACCTCGGGAAAGGAGCTCCCTTTTAATTTCTATAGACACAAGGCATATTAACAGATCTCCTATTGTTTTCACAAGAGACCAGTGATATGGAGTGCTTGAGGTATCTCTATCCTTAAAATAGGCAATTGAGTAAAAACTTAAAACACGCGTGGAGGGACTGTCTGGGCAGCAAGTTTTGGAGCTCTACAGGGATATGTGATGGAAGACCAAGGACACGCTGGAGAACTGGCAGAACCAGAGCTTAGGCATGCTAGCCACTTACTCTATCTAGGTCATACCACCACGCCTGCAGCCACTCTCCAGCTCTTGGCAGAACCTTGGGTTTCTTCCATCTGATTACTCTCCCAGGGGGTTCTGCCTCTAGAGCTGAAGATTTGACTAGGGACTCTGGCCATCCTTGCAGCTTCATTCCCTGGAGTAAGAAGGAAGGGGCAGAGGGTGGGTGAGAGCTGAATCTTAGCAAAACATGCAGATGCTTAGGAGCCCATCCCGGGTGACGGGTTTGAAGGTAGTAAGAGACTATTAGATCCTTGGCTGTGAAGCCAATCTTGTTGGTCTTAGGTCAAGACGGTGCAAACCTGGGGGCGCAAAAGGTCTGGAATGAAAGGAGTTTGGGGATAGGCTGGAACCAGGGCTGTGGATTCAGGGTCAACACTAGTTGACTAGTGCATTCTACTTCCACTAGCTTAAAAGAGAAAATCAGAGTTGGCCCGAATATGGGAAATGAATCCTTACATTGTGTTTGCCTTCTTTCAGCATCAAGCCTGGCGGGAAGCCTTGTGGCCCCCAAAGGGACAACATTTTAGTAAAGGGTAATTTTCCAACAGTACTGTCCTCTGCTCCCCTCCTGTCACTCAGTTTGCAACTTCTCCCAAAATATATGTGTGTGTGTGTGTGTGTGTGTGTGTGTGTGTGTGCGCGCGCGCGCGCGCGCACAGAGAGGAATCTCTTTATGGATGACAGCCCCTGCCCCCCTGCCCAAAACCTCTCCTTCGTGGTTTTCCGAGGAAGCAAAAATATAATGACAACTTAGAGTCCCGACTCCCGTCTCAACCAAGCTCTAACTTTATCCTGGTCTCTTTCCGTTTCAGGACATCGGGTCTGTCTCAGGAGCATTTGGACCTTTTCTTCCAAGAACCAGTATGAAGAGCAGGAGGCAGGATGGAGACTGTGCCTTCACACCCTAGCTTCCACAGGCCGGTGGAGAAAAGTGGCCTTTACCTGTAACCTGTCCCTACCCGCTGCATCACACGGCCCAAACTCTTTCGTTCTGCTTGCTGCCGGATATCACGACAATGACAGCAGCAGAAGGCGAGAGCCATGGCGTCAAAAGGGACCAGGCAGAAACGGACCATTAAGCCAGGAATGGCTGGGTGGGAGTGGGAAGGGGCTATTAATAGAACAAAGCTCTGGGCTGTTGACTGCTCCAGCGTAAAGACCGCTTCTGGTGTTGCCCACCAGTTTTGCCTACTGGGGACTGGGTCTCTAAACCGCTGGGTCCTGGGCTTTTCCCTGCATATGTTGTAGGTCTTGCAACTGAGCTTGTTTTCGTTGCGGTTAATAGTGGATCCCGGGATCCACGGCTCCATGCAAGGAGGACAATGCACGGCCAAACATGGAAGGTCGCTGATTTCCCAAGGCCCTAAATAACCACTCTCCCCCGCCCCCCACGGAGTCTAAACAGCTACAACCTGGGGGCCGAGGGACTGGGAGTTGGAGTCGCGGGAAGGTCAGGCCTCCACAGCACCCACTCCCCTCGGGGTCCTTAGGATGGGGGGCGGAGCTCCGCTGCTATCTCGCGCAGCAGCTGACGGATGGCTCTTTAATAAGCTCCTCGTTAATCTTCCCCGCCTCTCCATCCCCAGCCCGCGGGACACCCGTATTTTCTGGCCCGATAAGGCTAGAGAATTTTAGACGGTGAAATGTAGTCAGGAAAGCAACTCCTCATTGTTCAGCCGGAGCCACTCAGCTGTGTCCCTTCGAACAAATCTCCCGATTTTTGTTTTGCTTTGTTTTTTCTTCTTGAAAAAAAAAAATTACAACCCTTGGGCGTTTTCATTTCAGGCCCCCTCGCTCCTTTTCCTCTCCCCTACTCAGATCTGTTTTCCTTCCCTGCTGCCCCCTCGTGCCAGCCCCCCCCCCTCCCCGCAACGTTCTCTCCCTCCCTGCAGCTATCCCCTTCCACACCTCCCCCTCTTCCTTTCTTTCTGCTGCCGTCGAAGACCTGCAGGGCAAACCGTCCGGCCCACGCTGCTCGCACTCCGCCTAGACCCAGGGCTGTAGGCTTTTCCTTTCTTGCCACCCCCCCCCCCCCAGCCCCAAGAAAGAAATTTGAATCACGGTGACAATTCGGTGCAAAACCCTCAAGCTGGGGAAGCCACTTTTAACTGGGGATGGAGGGTGGAGTGGGCAACAACGTAGGATCAGTAGCAGCCTTGATACATATTGCGCCTTTGGTCTGCTTGGCCGGAAAATCAGACTAGCTCGAAATTTTTGTGCGGATTTTTACAGATTCAGGGCAGAACGCACTAGTCTAAGCAGTTCGGCGCCGATGAGGACAGCCTGGTTGCCACTTGGGGGTGCTGTATCCCCGCTTCCTAGGCCTTACTGGGTGAAATGAGTGCCCTTATCTAAGCGTTTTCTGGTTATTGGGTCTTGAAAAGGAAAAGACCTCTCTGCCGAGTGAGGAGGGCCAGGACTTCCAAGAGACCACCTTCATTGGGCGCTGGAACTGTAAAACACAACACCAGCCCAGGGGTCAGGGTCCCCTTACGGAAGCGGGACACTCCTACAAACCCACTGCCATGTGATAAGCTCCACTCTGAGGAGGCCCACCACCTGAGGGTCTGTTCACTTACCACAGATCTTCAGGCCCAGTTTTCTGGTGCATCCATGGGCTACGCCACACCAAGTATCATATGCTAGGGGCAGAGACAGGAAAAAGAAATTAGCAAGGTCCAGGCCGGAGAGAAACTGGGTAGATCGCAAAGGTTTCGCGAGGGCTGTGGAGGTCCTCTCCAGGGCATCTCATGAAAATCCCTGTTCTGGAGGAACACGGAGCTACCTACATCTTTGCTTCACTGACAGATCTCCCGGCTCTCATCACGCCTGCTCACTTCAGGTACTGAACCATGTTTTGGAGAAGTGGAGCTCACAGCTATGGATCCCACCCCCAAGAGGTCTTCACCAGGGCAGAGGCGAACCACACCCACCGCCAGGCCCAGCTCCAGCCCCAGGTCTCAGTCCCCCGGACTTGAAGGGGACAACACAGCATTTCAGATAGGGAATATAGAGGCATCTGGGACCCAAACGTCTCATAATTTCTTGGCGGGTCTCCAGCCGAGTGGCAGCTTAAAATAAACTGGCATGAAATGGGGTCGCGGAAGAGTTCAGGAATTAATTGGGTGAAAAATAGTATTTGACTAGATGAACGGACTCGCATGGCTGCTCCAGTCATACTGGGGAGTAGAGAAGACAATGGTGCCCCAGTCGTCCTGTCCCCAGCCCACCCCTAACCCCCTTCGCAACCTGCCCCTCATTAACCCTTCCTTCCGACTCCTAGAGATTGGAGCAGACAGATGCGGGCACCTCTCCTCTGGGTCTGAACCTCGGGCTGCAGGAGTGTTAACTTCCAGCAAAGAATGCGAAGAGGCAATCCACTGCCCTGAGAAGCCTTCGTGTAGGGTGGGCCCAAGGAGAAATACCCTTCCCATCACTCCGTGCAAGGCGCTTCCCATCCCCCACCCCACCCGGGCCGCTCCTCCAGCGATGCGGGAGTGTTGGCTGAGATAAGCAGAGTGACATCCATTAAACCCTAGGCACAACAGAGCCCCAGAGGGGAGAAGAAAAGGCCTGACAGTGGTGAGACAGTATGTCACAGATGGAATTCCACTGACAGACAGGAAATCCGTGCAACAGCAAAACCCGGAGCATAGAGTTCTACTTTCCCAATATCTGTGCTTTCTCTTTAAACACCTTCTCTAATCAAAACGACCCACGAAACACTCAGGAGTGTGGGTCTAAGACTCAGGTGGACAAAAACATTTCTGCTCAGAGAGGTTAGAGTTTCCCAAGGTCACTTGCCCTGAGGTTGGCCTTCAGAAACATGCCAGTTTGATTTTTCGTTCAAGTTAGGCGTTAATAAAAACAGGAAAACAGGAAGGAACAGAGGTGAGCGAGAGCCCCTTTGTTGTGGCAGTATTTGAGCACACCTTTGCTGGTAGGCGGGAGAGCTCCTGCCTGCTAGGGGGTTGCTGGAATAAGGTGTGTAAGGTTTGTACAGGAGCAGAACAGAGACCTTGAAGAGGATCCAGAAGAGGCTGAGACCCACAGCAAGCTGGGCAGGTGGGGGGTGTGTCTTTCGGGAGGGCGGAAACTGGACTGAGCACGGAATCCGTGCTCCCTGGCTCTCCAGTTAAGGGTGGGTGTCCCTAGGGAAGGGAAGGGGGTCCTAAGATTTCTGGCCACCATTTAGGTGGTTTTCAGAGCCACCACGCCACGTGTGGACTCAGACCAACGCCTCGCCTTTGCTGAGGCTGGACATCTTAGGATTGGGGTGATCTGCATATAGGATGTAGGGGTACCCAGTGTGGTGGTTTGCCCCAAACCCCGAAGGACAGGGAATAAAAGTCTGCGTTGTGGGGATGAGAACTGGAATAAGGTTTGGGGAGGACTGGGAAAGAAATCTGTGCAGGCCCAATCAACAGACAAAAGGGGCGCAGGCCTCGGGAGTTCTGCAAGCCCAGCTCCCACCGCTGGCTCCGCCACCAATGCCTGGTTCACGTGCCGCCAGCACTGACAATTCTCTAGAGCTCCGCTTTGTTATGTGTGTAATTGTAGCCTGCCTGCGTGCGGGAAGAGGGTGCTGCGAAGGGAACTGCAAGGTGGCCTGAGGAATTAGGGCCTCCTGCCCCAGAGTCTGCACCGAGAGATTGGAGGGGGAGGCTTTCCTGCCTTTTTCTTGCCACTTGCGTTGATGGGAACAATTGTTTTCACAAGCTTACGATAAGTGCCCTAAAAACGCAGTACTGAGCACTCTGGACCACACCGATCCCCTCAGCTCCTCCTCTGTAGAGATTCTGGAGCCAGGGCTGTCTGGAGCTTGATAGGTTTGTGGGAGAGGGGTGGGGAAAGGCTCACCCCAACATGGAAAAAAAAAAAGACAAATTCCGTGTCTCTCTCCGATCCTCTACACGGAATCAGAAAGTCACTCTGAATTAGAGACAGATAGGGTGGAGAAGCATAAATGCCCCCTTTATCTGGTTTCCCTCTTCTTTCCAAGACTGTCACCTGCTGACAGGTCTTTGGGCCAGGAAAAAGCATAGTGGTGCTGCTGCCTCCCGAATTGGCAAGCCATTTCTCCTCCTAGTTACCCCCCCCCCACACACACACATCTTGCCACTCCGGATGATGCCTAATACCCCCGCCTTCGCCCTTTTTGTCTCTAAGATATAATTAATTGAACCTCAAGCAGTTTTGTGCACCTTTCACGCTCCTGGCTTTGCCCTCACTCGTCAATAGCTAGACACAAATTTGGAGCAATTAAGGACCCTGAGTTTTCTAAAAGCTGCAATTAACGTCGAAATTTCCCCTGATTATGGACTGTGAGTACAGCGCTGGGGGCGGGGAAGGGAGAGGAGGAGGTCAGGTCTTAGCTCAAAGCTAGAGGGGAAAAACAAAACAAAACAAAACTGTTCTCGCTGGGACTCTGGGTTCCTTACATCGCCCCCCTGTTCTGACCCCTGTTGTCCCATCAGACAAAAAAACAACACAACGCCAAGACCCTAAGGATCTGTTCCGCGGGGCCCCTGTGTAGTCCTCGCCCTTCGGTGCCCTGGGAGTAACCTCGTGTCCTGGGCAGCCAAATGACCTCTAACAGGAACCTGGGTTAGCGCCCCATTTGTTTTCCAGCCTCCATTGCCTGTCTCTCCTTTAGCGTTCCGACAGCGCAGCCTCCCGCGGTCCCAGCGCCCCCACCCCCAGCTGCAGTCCATTTAATAGGAAACTGGGGCAGGACCTACTTGTAGGGCGCAGGTTGGTAGTATTAGGATCTGCTCCCGCGTTCGAAGAGGTTGCAGACGAAGGAGTGGAAGATGCCATCAGCTCGGTGGTCTCGGGGTCTCTACTGTTCAAAGGTCCCCTGAGGGTTGGGTGCAGGAACAAGCTGCAAACAGAAGGGAGAGCTGTGCTGGGGAGAGCTTCTAGGTCCTGCGGTCCGGGTCACAGAAGTCTCGGAGACGGAAGGGAGACCAAGGGCAACGAGCTGGCTGGGTCCGGGTGCGCGGTCGGTGGGAGGGGGTGGGGAGGCGCTAGCTAGCTCCGAGACTGGGGCGCAGGCACAGTAGCCCAGAGCGAAACTCAAGTCTGGAGGCTCAACCGGGTGACCCTGAGTGAGGCTCAGAGCTTAGGGGCTTCCAAGGAGGGTGCAGGACACAGGGGATGGGGTGGGGACAGGGCTAGGAGCACTCTTGGAGTGAATTCCAGCCTAGCCGAGACAAGCCCTATTGGGCTCCCAGCAGCCTGGCAGACCCGCAGACAAGGGGAGGGCGCGCGGGGCGGGTACGTCTGGGTCGGTGTCTGGTTCCAGTTGTTGTGTCTGGCTAATTCCTTGGAAAGAAGGAGATTCACAGCGCCGGGGACAGGGACTTTGGTGAGACAAGATGAGAGGGGAAAGGTATTCATATTTTGTTTTCATTTTTCCTAGGACTTGACCCTCTAAGAAACAGTCACCTTGCACTCCAGACAGCCAAAAGGCAGCGGGTCGGAACCTTGCTGTTGAGCTTCTTGTCCCAGCTCGTTTCTAGCTATCCCAAGCCTAGGGCAAGGCTGCGTCCCAGATTCGCGGTTTCTACTCTACCTAGTCCCCAGAGTTCGTCTTATTGAGCCAGAGAAGGTGACAGAGAGTACAAAGGAGAACGTCACCTGGGAGGCGAACTTGCGCCCTGGGCGCTAGAGACCTCGGATAGACCTGAGTGCTCGGCGCCCCTACTTGGTACTTGCTCGCAGACAGAGAGAGGAACGAGGGCGATAAAGAAGAGGAAAGAGGAGAGAGAGAGAGAAAGAGAGAGAGAGAGAGAGAGAGAGAGAGAGAGAGAGAGAGAGAGACCCCGCGCTAATCTGGGTAAATCTAAGACCCCGCAGAGCGCAGCCCACCAGCCGCCTCTTGCGCATCGTCCCTCGGGCTGGGCATCTGTCCCCGCGCGCGCGCTCTCGAAGCTCCGCGGGCGACGGTAGAACGCGGGTGCTGGGGGAAGTAACAGGTTATCGCTCCTCGCACCTTCTGCCGCTGCTACCCAGGCGCGAATCCGAGAGCCGTGAGCTCCGATCCCCGAAGCGCCAGGAAAAATGGCTCTGGTGTCACTTCAGCTCCTATGTGTCTTCCGGAAGAAACGGTTGATAAGGATCGCATGAGTGAAGAGGGCCTGGGGCGGGGACCGCCAAAAGACAGCTGCGACTGGACTGGCGGGAAGCACCGGGGGCTGGGAGGGGGGGGG